CCCCTGGTACATTTGGTCTAGAACCGCCACTGATAGCAACAATTAACAAAATCAACTATTATATGATATAAATGAGATGATGAACTGTATCTAAAGTGAATGACTGATTTAACAAACCAGTCCGAAGGGAAACTTTTTATGACAAATGACTCTTAATCTCAGTGAATTATAACTCTTTTTCTTTCCAACCCAAAGCTTTGTTTTGGTTCCACTGAGTTCAGGCCTTCCTGTTTGCTCCTGACCTTCATCCAAATATTGACGACAGAAATGTGGTTCAATGAAGCGTCGATTGTTCCAGAGATAAACCCCCGATATGAAGCGCTCTCACACTTGCTCAGGCTTGTTTTTTTCAGAAAATTGACATATAGATCATGTTTTATCTGGGATTACAGAGCTAGGAGCATCAACATTAACCTCAGATAATGAATGAAATAAACCTCACATTGTTTACAGCGAAATCAGATTATTTAGATTTTAAATCATCCGCTGTTTCTTAGATAATAGTTTGGTATTCATCTCCTTCCTACCAGTCACAATTTCCTCTTTCTCTTTGGGTTATGTTGATCAACAGGTTTCCAGGTTATTAATCTACAATAATCCAGGGGAATTTCCTCAGTTAGTTTTTAGCAGCTTTGTTTACGTTCTCTAAAACCAGCGTTGTCTCCACCGCTGTGTTTGGCATCCAATCTTCATAATAGGTCTTATTTTTATTCCTTCACCCTTCAGTCAGATTAGATTAGATTAATCCTGAAAAGCAAACCCATATCTTTGAAGTCCCGCCTCCAAACTTCACTGCCAATCAGTTCAAAGGCAGGGGTTTCCAAACTGGGGGGGTCACAAGATGGTTATTTACAATCATTGCAATGTGATCCCTAAAGTACAAATGGGGCATAAATAGATCCTGGAATACATTAAAGTCACGTGGAAGAGATAGATGTGACATTTGTTTATCTAATGCATGAGTCAAAAATTAAATTATAAAATGCACAGTTAAATAATTAAATGTTCGGCTAAACAAACAAACAAAAAACGTCCCAGTTTCTAGTCTGAGGAGGAACTCTGGGTTTTTTTCCTCTGAGCTTCATACTGCAGGGTGCTGAATCTGCAGGGACGTCCCTCCTGCGCCTCTGTTATCGTAGCAGAACTGGCATCATGTCGACACAAGGATTTAAAATCAGTTCATTTCAGAGACAGAGAATCATCAGCCCGCTTCTCCGTCTCCTCCTTTCTCTATATTTGTTGAATAAACAGTGACGCATGAAAATCTGCAGTGCTTTCCTCTCACTTGAAAACCCGTAAAGCTCGGATCACTTTCCCCTCATATGTTAAACACTCAGAAAACCCAAAAGAGGATGTACTCTTTTTATTTGTTTCCAAAGAATTGATCTACTTCCTGTTTCGCTCCAAGAGGCTATAATAGTTCCTAAAAGTTAAATATGTGGGAAACCTGCTATGGGTGACCAGTTGGTTCCTAAACCTCCTGAAAGCCACATGTGTCTGTTTGGTCATCATGGTGGTTCTGACCCATCGGGCCGCTGCTCGTTTCATCAGCTGCTGGGTTTCTGTCTGAATGGAAACGATGTGAAATTCTGGGCCGATATTGATAATAGATATTTCCACTTTCATGTTCATTTACCTTCTGGACTCCAAGAAAGGCTGAGCATGTTATATTTTGGGTCAATGAAGGAGTTTGTCCTGCAACTGTTGGGTTGCCAGTTTAAACTCCAGCTCCATCCTCATTGGTTGTGTTCCTGGGCAGGAAATATAACCTGCATGGCCTACAGGTGGGGGGGGGGTTCTGTCAGTGTGCCCCAGGACAGCTGGGGCTACAACCTAGCTTAGCACCATCAGTGTGTGAATTAGGACTGCATCTAATGATTATTTTCCAAACGATTAATGTGTTGATTCATTTTTTTTTTTATAATTGATTAATAATCGGGTATCTAAAGGTTTTTTAAAGGTTTTTTTTTATTATTATTATTACTAAAACAGGTGAAACAAAAACTTTTACACTTTAGGAGTTCTGATTAGAGCAGACTGGCAGACGAAAAAATGAAAATAAGGAAATATTTTCGTCTTCGTCCTGGTTGACGAAATTTACCCTATAATCAAAGAAATTCTAATGATGACCTGCGCTGGAACAGACATGGTTACTGATGGGTCCGTTGGATCTATTTCATTTTTTTTCATTACAAATTCTGTTTTACTAATTATTAGTTGGGATTTTGGCCGATATCCGATCTGCCGATATTTTAAAACTCATGTAGCCGATAACCGATATCGATACCGATGTTAAAGCTGGACAAAAATAAGTAGTCATTGAAAATA